CTGTGGCACGGATCAGTGGTCTGGTCCCCGTCACTGCTGGACCGTGTCCCACGGTATGGACAGGGCACACTTTGTTTCCGTTCGCCGGCTGACAAACTGGGTTGTTGCCAAGTTTTGGTGATTACTAACATGCTATGAATTCACATAAAAGTCTATGAATGAACACACACTTTACCACCAGCAATAACTCCAGTTTTCTTTTTCAAATGACACCTTTTTATGTGTGCTTATCACTTTCCACTTGTTTTTGCTTCCTTATACCATCTCCCTTCTCTAAAGGACAGGTCTCCATTGTTAAAAAAACACCCGTGTCCCGACCTCTGAATCTTTTACGAGTCTGCTCCAGACTGATGCCTACAAGCAGCATCCGGACGGACTGCTCAGGGAGGCTGGTGTCCCCTTCTGTAACTCCAGGATGCAAACCACCCCCACAGTGGGCTTTCATTGTTCTCGTACACACTTTACATAACTTAAAGAAACACAGTCAGCAAACGAGAGAAAGACAACATAAACTGCACAGGCCAGTGGTCCCGCCCCCGCAGCAGCACCAGCGCCACCTGGGAGCTCTGCCCGAAGCACAGCATCATGGGTCCTCCCCACCCTCCTCTAAGAGTGGGGCCCAGCACTGCTTCTAAGAAGCTTCTGATGGACTCTGCCACAAACGAGCACGCTTCTCGCTGTGCAGTAGTTTCCACCCACGCAGCCCCTGAACATGAGACAACCACTTCATCTAATGCACAATCCAAGAAGTCACCTACTTCTATTCTAGAAAGCCAGGCTGGGGTGCGCTTTTACTGACACTGTAATACAGGGGATTTAAGCCATTTCAGAGACAATTTGACATATGTAGCGTCGGCCTTACGGACAAGTTTCAGAGCACACCCAATCTCCACCGACCACGAGTCCACCGGTACCCGGTTCCTTTGCCCACAGACAGGAGCACGGCTCGTCTACTCACCAGCGTCACCTCATCTCCTTGGACAGACACATCTGGTCTGCGGAAGTGGCACAAGGCTACGATCGCGGCAATGCTGGCAGCATCAATGATGTTTCCGTCATGATTTAATAAATGTAGGTCCACGCGTATCTGCCAAACCTGAATGTGAATTCAAAACAAACACAAATCGGACTGATCACAAAACCAGTGGCTGTTTAAAAGGAAAAATAACACTGTGTACCAATTCTTCTCTTGTGGTTAAAATGTGGGTGCTCCTTGTTATCAATAAAACTGTACTTAGAAAAATGTTAGGTCAGACCAACATCTGAAATACCAATAGTTTACCCTTCTAGGAGTCATCTGACAACAGTAAGATACACACTCTAAGTGTATAGAACCATTTTACATTTAACACTAGGATTTCCCTAACTCCAAGCATTTATGATGACAACCTTACAAGTAATGGAAATAGGAAGGTGTCACATTTAAGCATGGAATGTAGAAAGGCTAAGTGACTCTTCTGGAGTCAAAAAGATGGCCAAAATGCCCTAATCAAGAAGAAAGTTCTACTATTATATGCCGAACAATTTACTGAGAATGAGATTTGCAACGTGTATATAAGCCTATCCAAATATAAGGGTGTAGTCTGGTCTTCAATTCTGCATCCATAAAAAAGGAAAATATTGCCTATGTCTATGAACTTAAAAAACGTAAGAAAGTAAATTAAAATAAATGAAAACCACAAGTGGTTTGAATAAAACATTTTCACACAAATTCCAGTTGCTCTTTTCACAATGTTTTTGTCCCTTTACAGAGAGATGACACAAAGCTCTAGGGGTGGCCCTCAGGAGCATCTGAAGTGAAGTGGACCAGTACAGAAAGGATTGAAGGTTTGAGCACTAACGTACAGCTACAGGGATCCACGAATCAACAGTATTCATCCTAAGATTAAGAACTCTGGGCACATTCCCCACCTTTTCACCAGCAACAACACAGAGAGACTCAGTGTCTATACACTTCGAATTTCTGAGACATCTTTCCAAGAGGCGATTCAACTTCACCAAGAGGTCTGACTGCCTGTGAAAACAGGAATGTGCTAATGTCATGAACTACAACACCAGGTGTTAAAACAACAGCTCACTGCAGTTATAGTCTCCTCAGGTTAGAGCAGTTAGTTTAAGAAGAAGATTTAAATACCTGCCAGGTTCAAAAGCTGGGGCAGCCATCTGAGAGAGTTCAAGGTTAAAAAACAGAATTCCTTCTGTTGCCCTATTGAGTTTTGGAGAAACAAGTTCACAGGAAACCTGTCCAAGAACTCTGCAAAGACAAAGTACAAATCTGTTGATTAAATACATTTCCTTTCCAATTAAAAAAAATCTAAAACAAATACTAATTTTCGATCTTACTCTGAGTAATAATAACACACTCAGCACGATGTAGAGGTTGACATTATGTATAAAGTACAGTAAAATATATACAAGAATAAAATGCACATTGGTATGAAGAGATGACAAGAAAAAAACATCTTGTATTTACTATACTGATTGTTCCACAGATCCTGTAAAAAAAATCAATGACCTGAACTTTGCTTTTCTAAAACAAGTATCTATTAACACAAGGCAGCATGAGAACTTGAGATTTCTTAGTTTTCCTACAGCACATTCACCAACACTATCAAACTTCCAAATGAGTATTAAAAATCAAGTTCTCACATCACCCAGGAAAAGGAGGTAAGTAGGGTGTATGTACTGACAAGAAGTGCAGAAGAATTCAGTGCAATTGCTATGTGATACCCATGTGACAGAAAATGCACTTCTGATTAAAAGTGTAAAGTTTTTGGCAGCTACACAAAGTACCGTCCAAACTTCCTAGCTGCTCTATAAACTAGGTCATTAGGTTCTTTAAAAATAGGTCCCCCCATTGAGCCTCTAATTTGAATCCTTTGTTACCTTGTTTTCCCAAGTTCCACAATACAGCACCCGTAGTCTGTTCCAAACGAGATCTTGATGCTCCTGTAATCATAGGTTTGCCTGCCATCCAGGCGCTGTAAGCACAAGGTTCATCCGCTTATTCCTTCAACAGGTAAGGCGCGGCCGCTCTGAGTCGGGCCCTGGGCGCCCACCCCCACCTCACTAGCCAGTGGAAACTGGGAGCCAGGGCACTGGCCGTGGCTGGGCTGACTCGAGCCCTGAAAAGAACCCACTGGAACCAAATAAAACCTGGGGGGCTGGGGAGGCAGCGGGCGTCTGGCAGGGCTCCTCGGGGCCGGCGAGGGCCCCAGCCGGAAAGTCGCGGACGGCCGGGCCACCTGAGCGCCCACGCTGCCCCAAGTGCCCGGGGCCACGCACCTTCTTCTCCTCGATGGCGCGGAGGAGGAAGCGGCGCTCGCAGTTTGAAAGCGGTGTCTCCTTCATGATGGCGGTCCCGGGACCGCGAGCAGCGGAATCCGTCAGGAAGGAACCCGAGCCTCTCCACTCGCGCCCAGATCGCAGGCGGCGCAGGCGCTACGTCATCAAGGCTCTGCGGCGCGACCGGTGGAAGCCGGGGCCTGGCGGCAACACTGCGCATGCTCGGGGAGGGGCGGCGCGGGGCGTGGCGGGAGTGGCCGTGCGAAACCCGGCGGTTGAGCTAGGCGCTTTTCCGAGTGGTAGGGTGTGTTTCGTTATTCTTGAAGTGTAGCGGCGGAGGGGACCCGAAAATGTGCAGTGGTGTAGAAAGTAACCTCGGTGCAGCGCTGTCACACGGACCCCTTCCCTCAGTCGTAGCGGGGCGGGCTGGACAGGTGTCCCTGTTGCCGTGCAGGTGACGGAGGTGAGGCGTGGCCGCTGGAGCCCCCGCGAGCCGAGCGCGCGGCGGGTTCGGTGCAGGAACAGCGGCAGGGGCGGGCGGAGGTGGAGAGTGGGGGACACGGCAGGTGAGCTGGGGCGCAACCTCGGAGCCCTGAGAGGGCGACGGGAACTGAGGATGTCCCACTTGGTAACCAGGGGTGTCGTAACCACCCTTGGACTGAAACGAGATGTGCTGTGTCTCCAGTTAGGTTAAACCGGTGGACTGACGTGCACGGTCACAGAGAAAGCTTGGTGTGCCGGTGCTGCCGATCACCGAGCTTCGTTCCGAACGGCAGCATCGAGCAGCAGTAAAAGCAGGCACTCCAGCACCCGGGTTCGGGTTTGGTCCCGCCACGGGCTCCCTCTGGCCCTCGCCAAGTTAGCCTACGTGCTTCACTTTACTCATCCGCAGAATGGGAGTGACAAGCGTGTTATTTCGAGGGATAAAGACGAGTGCATGCGTGTGAAGTGCTTAGAGCAGTGCCTTGCATGGCGTAGGCACTAGCATTGAAGTGTTTGTATTTTGCTTCCATTTGCTTCAGGCCCTGGAACGTCCCCACAGGCTCCATTTCATTGCCTTAGTCCCTTTTCACTTTTTTTGTTCTCCCCTACCGCGGATACACTTTGTGCCACTTACAATTCATGGACTCAATAAATTTTGGACATTATTTGTGAGGGCCTCCCGAGTCTTAAGAATAATTCAAATGCTGGAGAAACTCGGAGGACAAGATCTTGTTCCTCAAGGAGTTCATGTTCTCTTTGGAGGAGACAATCAGTAGAAACAAACCAATAGAACACATTCACATGCTAGGTGCTATCTGAGAATGGGGGTGCTGTTTTAAGGAGGGTATCTGCAGGAAGGGCACACTCTGTAGAGGTGACATTTGAGTAACTAAATTCTTCATGAGGAGCAGCTGTGATAGCATCGGGAGGAAAAGAAAAGTGTTTCAAGCAGAAGCAGCAACGTCAGCCAAGACAGAGGAGGCGCTCACAGGGTCGGGAGACAGCACTGCTGAGTGGGAGGGGAGTGCGCAGAAATCACGGCCACGTGCTCAGAGAGTTGACTGATTTTCAGAATAAGCAAGGGGATTGCAGGATTCAGGGCATTCGAGTTCTTTAACAACATATGTTCGTGTTTATAGTACAGTTTCACAACAGAACTGGCTAAGCCCATCTTTTAAACCCTCGGGTTCTTCTAGTGGGTGTTTATTGATTTCTCTTTCCCTTCAGAAATGAAATAGTCCTTTACTGAAACAGGCTGTCCTTTCTTGCAAGGAAAGAATGGGTGTTGAGGGAGAATGGACTTTGGCTTCCCATGGACTTTGGGTGAGTTAAATAATTCTGAGCTTCAGCGTCTGTATCTAGGTTGGGAAACAATACTTTGTATTAAGTGGTCAGAATGAAAACCCCCAACACAATGTTCTGGACACAACAGGTATTCGAGTGTTAGTTTCCTTCCTCTTCTGGCTTGACAAGGCTTCCCATCAAACTGCCCGAGTCCCCCTTGGCAGCTTGCTCTCCTGGGACTGCTGCTTGGTTACCTTGTCCCGGCTTTCCTCTCCCTTTTGTAGAATTCCGATCATTCTTTCCTACTTTCACTGTTATGTTATTGTAATTTTAACACTGCAACATTTGCATCTTATTAAAGATAATCTGAAGGTCTGTAACCCATCCGCACTCACATGTACACACCATCATAAAATAGATTTACTTTGCTTTGGTTTAAGTAAGAAACTTTTGAAACACTGAAGAGACTAAAACACTGAACCTTGTTTTATGCCTACAGGTGGAAAAGTTTTTGAAGTTTGAGAAGAGGTTCAGGTAATGTTATACAGTCTGCTCTTTAAAAGAATCAGCTTGAGTTAGGGTGTTAACTTGGATGGTGTGTCTAAATATAACCTGGTTTTCTACAAAATGTTTGAGTATACATTTTCTGTACTCTTTATAGGACATGCTTTGTCCTTGACCAGCACCCTTCTGTTTCCTGGAGAAATGTCTTTTTCTGACCCCACGTGATTCTCAGGTTACTGTTAAGCAGGCATGGGTACAACCAGGCCTTGCTCATCATGGCCCCATCCCTGTCTTCTCTTTCACTCTTCACCCAGGCAGGGCCAGACACAGTTCTTCCATCAGCCTTGACATGTGAACTCTGGGAGAGAATAGCTCTTTCCCTCTCAAGGATTGTCCACCCTAAGGACCAGGCAGGGCCTGGACCAGGCAGGTGGTCAGGGGCCACCCTGCCAACACAGGGGGAGAACCTGTTTGAACCTGAAGTCAGAGAGAGGCCAGCAGAACTGAGAAATGAAGGAGACGAGTGGAGGGGGACAGAGTGGGCCCTGGTCCCAGGGCTTCCCGGCAGCGAAGCAGTACCTTTGCATTGGTCTTTGCTGAGTGTGTCCAAAAGGATCCTGACTCAGTACACTTCTGCTAGAGTAGAGTGATCCATATCTTCTTAACCTGTGTAGCAACCACTGAGTGGTCCTGTGCCTTGCGAATAAAAATGGGTGCGGGTCTGCCGTAGCACATCTGGGAAAGACTGGGGTGGGCGGAGAGATAAGTGAGGAAATGGGAGCTTACATTTTATTTACTGTGTAGTATGTCCTCGGTTCGATTGGTCTGTGATGAAACTGGTTTTCCAGAAACAATCCTGGGAAGAAAGAATGCGAAATGTTAGGATGTTTATCCCTGGGTGGTGGGATTCTGGGAAGTTTTTTTCTTGTGAATTGTTTTCTTTATGAATTTCCCGAATATTTTATAAAGCATATAAATACCTTTTGTCATCAGGGAAAGTGAAATGGAAAAAAATGTATATTTTCTTTTTCTTGTCCGGACACATTTAACTATTTCTTTTAGAAGACATTTTGGCTTCACCTACGTTTTTACATAGACAATGGTTTAATTTTTGTTGTTTATAGTTACCATGTGAAAAGCTTTTATACATCGACAATTGCTGTGGTCTGAATATTTGTGTTTCCCCAGATTCACATGTTGAAACCCTAACCCCCAAAGGCGTTAGTGTGAGAATGTGGGGCCTTCGGGAGGTGGGGATGGAGCCCTCATGTGTGGGATTAGTGATCGTATCAGAGAGACCCCACAGAGCCCCTTCCACAAGCTGTGGACACCATGGGGAGGCTGGGACTCCCAGCAGAGACACCGCCAACCACACTGACACCCTGATCGGGGACTCGCAGCCTCCAGAGCCGTGAGCAGCAAGTCTCTGCTGTTTCTGAGCCTCCTGGTCTGTGGGTTTCGGTTACCGCGGCCCGGCTGGACCGAGACTGCAACAACTGAACACTGATAATAGTATGTAGTGTGATGTAGTATGTATCTGCTTTCCATAGTTTTCCTTCACATAGTAAAATTTAAAAACCCTTGATAGTAGAGTATCAAGTTCCATGTTAGTTTCTACTGAATCATTAAAAGAGCTTCCCCTTTCATTTTTATTTGCTATGCTCAGGAATCTATATATGATCTCTCCTGTTACTATTATTAAGCTTTTCCTGTATGTTCAGATGAACAAAAGGTGGCCAGTACTGAGCTTATCATGACTACAACAAAGTGAGGGAGGATGGGAAGCAGGGGGCATTTGATTTCCTCTGCGTCCAGACTCGAGTGACACCGACTCAAGTGACACGTGGATAATCCTGGCCACAGAAGTGGGCACATGGCCGACGTCTTTCCACCTGTCCTCGTGGATGAAAAGAGGATTCCTGCTCACTGAGAAAAACCGGTAGGCAACTATGCGATTTAATGTCTAAGTGGTACGTTCCAGGAAAGTTCTGTGCCGGTGAGTTTCTACAAATAAAGTCCTATCTTAAATAGAATTATAAATAATAAAAGTAGAATTTATCAATGTGGGTTCAACTCATTGTAACCCAAGTAACTATTATAGGGTGTACTATAGGCAGAATAATGCCCCCTCCCAAAAGGCGAGGGAAGGGGTTCCCCCCAGCACCTCCCAAATGCATGAGGCCTTGCTGACACTGCGGACCCCTGACCTCCGGAGCTGAGAGACGGCAGGTTTCTGTCGCCTGAGCTGTGTGCTTGGTGGACATTTGTTACAGCAGCAATAGGAAACAAGGGCAGACTGCCAGATAAAATTCAGGGTGCCAAGTTGCAACTGAATCTCAGATAAACAACGAGTAATTTTTTTTGGAATAAGTATATTTGATGTTTTTCTATTACACTGGACATGTGTATACTAAAAAAAATTCTGGTGCGATCATTCCAATGTTCTCGCCATATCTCCTTCTGATGTTGGCTCTGTCCTTTTGAATGGTATTTTTTGTCTTTAGTGATGTTGTCTTGAGACCAGACATCACATTCAGGATGAACAGAACTGGTTTGGGAGGCCCTTCTGGATGAGATCTGCTCTCAGGCTCTCAGGCGTTTAGCGAGCTGGACCCCTGGGCTGTGACCTTTGCAGGTGAGGTGGTTCCCAGCATCCTGCTCGGGAGGCTGAGACCGGAAGTCCGGGGGCACAGGGGTGGGTGGAGATGGGGCTGCGTCCTCCTCTTCCTCCAGGTCAGGTAGGCTCTGGTAAAACCCCATCTTCTGGGCTCTGCTGAAACACTCCTGAAGAGGTCTCGCCAAGGGGAATTGGGTGTTCTGGCCCTGTATCAGAATGGGTGTTGCCCCCCACTTTTGCCGGGGGTGGGGGGGACGGGGTTTCCCCCAGGTTTCATGGCAAGAGCCTGATAGGGCTCCTGGGGCAAAGCGCACGGGAGGAGATGGGAGCCACCTGCCCAGTGCCGTCCAGCTGGAGCTGCCACTCTCGGGCCTGTCTGCGAGGAGACTCGGGTGGCCCGCCCCCTCGCCCCGTGGGCAGCCCCTCAGCCTCCTGGGGAGCTGCCTGTACCTGAGCTCCTGCCCCGCCCAGCGTCCTGCCTCACCCCTGCCTGCAGAGTGGTGGCAGGGGCCGCCCTGCAGCATCGCCCCTGTGAGGGTCTGTGGGGACCTGCCGGCTCTCGGTTTGCCTAGTTCGGGCGGGGGTGGCAGCTGTTTCCAAGCTGACCGCCGGCTGGACCCGAAACTGGACATCGCTGGAAGTGAGCCCTGAGCCCGACTTAGAAAGCAAGCATGTGGCACTGCGTGCGAGGCCCTAACTCGAGCACCGAGCCGCTGTAACCCCGGTGACAGCCCGACAGGGGAGGTAGGGTCACTGTTGCACGGCCGGGAAAGCCGGGGCCCCAGAGGCTGCGCCGTCTGCGGAGCGCCGCAGGGCTGGGAGGTCACGGACTCGGGACTCATTCCCCGCAGTCAGTCTCAGGGGACCACAGGCAGGGCGCGGAGAGAAGGGGGAGGGGACCATAGTCAGCACGAGCATGGAGGGTCTGAACTGCGACAGAGGGTTGCTGCAGTTAGTGGGGCGGCCGCCGTGAGGTGCCGAAGGGTCTGATCCTACCAGGTGCACCTGAAACCCACGTAACTGTGGTGTGTACCAACCGTGCGTAAACACAAGCACTCTAAAGAGATGGTGTTCGTGCCCACTACACTGGGCAGGTTCTCATAAATGGGAACTCGCTGCCTATGCCAAGGGGACGGTCTTCACCTTCACCCTGAACCAGTTCAGTTCCTTTCTCCACGAGGGTCTTTACTTCCTCTTTTGAGCATCTGCAAAGAAGGGAAAGTCGCTGTTACTGGATCACCCAAACGCAACTTCCTACGCTCGGACCAATCCGAAGCGAGGCAAAGAGATGCCAGGGGGTCCGCCAACTGCCCGGGAGCTCGTGAGCTGGCCGGTGAGCTCTGCTGTGCGGCTGCGCAGGAGGAGCTGTGCGCGCACTGGTGGAGCGGGCTCTTGGTCGAGAGTGCTGCAGACCTTGTCATCGGTGCCACGTCCGCAGCTCTCCTTTCGTCCCTGAGTCCAGGGGTGTCTCATCTATCTCCCTGAGTAACTCTTTGTTCATGCTAATGATTTAAGACTAAAAGTTTCTACCCCGTTCCTAAGGTCGCCTGGGGAGGGAGGCCCAGGCTGTTTCAGAAGCAGCAGCTTCAGCAGGCTGGGGGCGCGTTCGGAGCCACGCTGGCTGTCTAGTTAGGCAACCGGTGGTGTCCTGTGGGCATGGGTCCCACAAGCTGTGTGGTGGCATTTTGAGAGAGCACCTCAGGGGTGGGCAGCCCCTAAGGGGCCCCGTGGTGCCTGCCTCCAAGTGTTCAGGGCCTGTGTGGTCTTCCCCCTTTCAGTGACCCTCCTGTAGCCAAAACACCCCCCCCCCCCCCCCCCCCCGTGGCATTGAGAAGGTGACACCTCCGGGTCAGATTACAAGACACTGACTGCCATCTTGCTAGAAGATTCTCTTCCTTGTTGGCTTTGATGATGCAAGTCTGGGTTGGGGGGCCCACGAGCCACAGCCCACCCAGCACTGAAGGCAGTGGGCACTACCGAGGTGGGTTTGCAAACAGCCGCCCAGGTCGAGCTCGCAGGCAGCCCTGGTGGACATCTTGAAATGCAGTCAGAAAGTAGGCGGGGAAGGCAGGCCCGCCTGAGTCTGCCCCGACTCCTGCGTGCAGAAACCGGGGTGGAAAGTGTAAGGCGTAAGGTGGGCAGGAGCAGTGGGCAGCGGATGCAGTTTCTAGCAGCTACTCTTCTGCAGTTAAGCATTCTTCCCGGGGTCTGTGTTCCACTGGTTTAGTTCTGTCTTGTTGGCGGGGCAAAGAAAGTCCCTGTTTGATATTTTTGCAACCTCTGAGTTCATCACAATGCTGCTAAAAGATTTTGTGAAGGAATTCGGAGCACCTAAAATGCTTGGTCCATATCACGGAAGGGTGTTTTCTTTAGCGACCAGGAAAGTGTTTACTGATCTCTAAGAGGCAGCCTGAAGGGACGCATGAGCTGTATCCCAAGCATCTGGCTGGAGTTCAGTACTACACCTCTGGGAATATAAAATGCAGGGAATGCGCATTTTATACATGCACATTCTAATGGCTTCTAATGTGCAAATGCAAAAGCCTCTGCCAACTTTGCTTTTACTTAAAAAAAAAAACACCAAAAAACTGAGTATGAAAGGGTAGTTTTTTCAAAGTTGTTGACAAAATTCCATTTAGCAGTGGGCTTTTTAAAATCTGAACTGATAATGTTATCTAAAAAGGAAGAATGCATGTTAAATCTCAGGTATGAGCACTTATCTGTAAAAAGAAATTTCAATATCACTTATAAACAGAGACTAAAAAAAAGCAGGTTGAACTTAATAGAGATTGTATATTGTGTCTGATGGTGGCATTTTTCTTTAATTATTTTGTTTCTGATATTGCTGATCAACATCATGTTGTGTAATGAGTAAAAACCTGAAGGAATCCAGTCACTTGTATAAACATTTTCTGTGGCCCCACTATGTGCCAGGTCCTGTCCCAAGCACCGGGACAGTGCAGCAAACAGATTAGCTGGGGTCCTTGAAGCTCATGCTGTAGCAATGGGCGGGCAGGAAGGTCACCTATTCACCATAGAAAAGCAGCTGAGTGACACCCGGCAGTGGTGAGTGCCACAAAGAGACAGGACGCTGGGCAAGGGGCATGGAGGTGGTCCTACAGATGGCATGGCCTGAGAGGGGCCTGTCTGATGATCAGATAGGGAGGCTTTTCAGGCAGCCCGAGACCGGTGGGGTGGAGAGTTGGGTAAGGGGACTTTAGGCTTCAACATCATCAGCTCGGCTGCAAGCAAGGTTGCTGGAGACAAATAGGGTGACTTCTTTGAGGCTCTTTGGCAAAGACTTCATGTAGCTGGACGTGATTTCCTGAGTGGGAGTTCAGTGGATGAAGAGCCCAGGCTCTGGAGCCAGCGGCTTGGTTTATGTTCCAGCTCCACAGCCTCCCAGCTGGTTGACCTCAGGCACAGGCTTCAGCCCACATTTAGCAATTAAACATCAGCTACAGTTGGACTAGGTTTCCCCTGGTCCAGTAGTCTTTATTAAGTGAGGCCAGCACCAGTCACTCTGCACAGATGTAACAATGTGTCTTTAGATGCAAAGACTGTGCAGCTTTCCCCTTTGCAAACCCAGTTTCCCAAGTTGCTTTCCTGGCCTCCAGGAAGCACTGGAGCCAGAAATAGCTTCCCAGACACCTGGTTTGAAAGAGGTATAAAGAAGCAGTGAGTTCTCTGAAGTCGTCTAAGAATATCACTTATTTTTAAGATGCAGCCTTCGTAGTGGGCAGGGGCTTTGAGAGCAGACGGCCTGTGGTGTGGGTGCCGGCCTGGAGCCTGTGGCATCTTGGCCACGTCCCCTCTCAATGGAGTTGTTGGAGTGGACACTCGTTAGCACTTCTTCTGTGCCGGGCACTTTCTGAGGGGCCTGGGCACGTTAGCTCACCCCTCCCCACAACCCTTCACGAGGTGGTCACCACCACTATCGTCCCCATGTTACAGGTGAGCAACGGGACCGAGCTCAGGCGACTTTCTCAGTTAAGTGCCAATGTCAGGATTTGCGTGGTGCTGTCTGGTCCTAACCAAGTCTGTGTGCTTCACCCACACTCTCGACTGCCTCCTGGTGATCACGGTTCCTCCCTCACGGGTGGCACCATAGTAAAAGAGGCGGTTACAACCCTTAGCATAGAGCAAGACGCAAAGTAAGAGCTCAGTAAACGTTTGTCGAATGACTGACTGTGCGAAGTCATGGTAAGTGATATCATCGTAAATAGAACGCCTGCACACTCTGTTGTGGCTGAGCAATTTGGTTATGTTTCACCACTTTAGGGTCCCTGAGTAATTACATCAGCTTTGTACATCCGTTAGTCTGACGACCTGTCGATGACCCATTTTGAGAGGACATTGGGTTCCCTGGCAAACTGGTCGGGGCTGAGCTCCTGCTGGCTCCTGGTGGTCCCCTCTTGCGCTTCTGAGTGCTCGCAGACCATCCGTTTGAGGATCGGTTTCAGGATTTTGCTTGCCATCCTGTGTTGAGCTCATCATTTACATCTTTGCGTTTTTAGAACTTGGGGGACTTCTAGTTCTCTCCAGGATGAAAATCTGCTTTACGTTCCTGGTGCGCTTCCTTGGTGATGGAGGCCACTGGAGATTGTCTGCATAGTTTTGTTTTGTTTAATTGATTTTGAGAGAGAGAAACATCGATTTGTCGTTCCACTCGTTTGTGCATCCATTGGTTGACTCTTGTATGTCCCCTGACTCTTGATGGAACCCACAACCTTGGCAGGACAACTCTCCACCAGCTGAGCCCCCCAGCCAGGGCCAGTTTTTTAACTGACACAACGGGGTGATTACATTGTACTCCAAAAGCACTGGAACCACACAACTAGCAACTCCTATTTCAAACCCCTAACTGTATCCAATTGTGGGGTGGATAAAGTTAGATTACTCATCTGCTAGAGGAAATTTAGGTAGGATGTGAGTCATACAATCTGACATTCTGGTGCTATCTAAATAATTCTATTTCTTTTAGCTAAACCATATGTTTTAAAGGTGTGAAAAAAATA